TGTAATTTTTTAATAAATTTTATAAAATTTTTTAAACTTCGTGAATATTTACTAATTTTCAATATTGGATTTGTAACTTTTGTTAAATTTTTGTCACAGTAATTTTTTTGTTGAATTTTTTGTCGCAATAATTTTTTTGTCAAATTTTTTGTTGCTGTATCAATTTTTTGCCTAATTTTTTGCCACAATAAATTTTTTGTTAAATTTTTTGTCACAGTATCAATTTTTTGTCAAATTTTTTATCATAGTATCAATTTCTTTATCAAATTTTTTACTGCAGTATACAAAAAAAATTTTTGCTATAGTATACAAAAAAATTTTTTGTGCAATATATAAAAATTTTTTTATCACAATATTATTAGATTTTATATTGAATTTTTTTGTCACAATTAAACTAAATAGAACCTTACAAAAAAAAAGAATTCAAGATTTCTGAATTCAATAAGATGATAATATAGACTAACTAATTTTTTGGAATCAGTTTAATGTATTCAATACTTTATATCTTATTCAAAATCAATAAAGACAAAAGTTTTTTAATCAAGTTAACATTTAATAAACTTTTAATATTATACAGTAGATTCTTAAAAAAAGAAAATTAATATTTATACTACAATGATTTGTCCAATATATAAATTTCAGAAAAAAATATTAGAATATCTTTTTGAATATTTAGTTACTATATAAGCTAAAAAAAACATATAGAAAATGGCAAATAAAAAGCTTATCTATTATATTGATAAAGAAATAAAGGATAAGAACGAAACCCTATCTATTATTAATAATAGAATAGAAAACTGATTAAATGAAATATAGTAATCTAATAGAAGTTTTTTCAATACTATTTGAAAATATATCAAAGAAAACAAGACTATTTACTTAAAAAGTTATCTTAAAAAACAACTTAAGATTCCTTCAATATCTATATAGATTATAATTAACAAGCTTTACTAAAAAATACAAAAGAATTTCAAAAAAAAATTTTTGAAACAGTTAATATATTAAAGTAATAAAATAAAAAAAAAATCAAATATTACTAAAAAGAAAAAAAGATTCAAAAGATCTAAACACAAACTTATTGAACAAATTATACAAGACCAAAAAGAATCCACTACACTTTTGATTAAAAGTCTAGATTAAGAAGAAATAGAAAAAAATAAGAAAAAAATTATATAGAAATTATTAAAAATTGGATTTTTTATGAAATAAAATGATTTGATTTTTAATTGTAGATAAAATTTAGAATAATTTATAATAATAATCTGTAGATAATAATTTTGTTAATTAAAAAGTATTTCGAATCAATAAAGAAGTAAAATATTATTTTTTAAGTTGTATCTAAAAAAATAATTTTTGATAATAAGTAAGTCAATATATAAAAGTTAAATAATTTATAGATATTATATATTTATATAATAAAGACAAACCATATTGATCTGACTGTAGATTAAAAAAAAATATATTTTTTTTTTTTTTAACTTTTAAATTATAATTGATATTAGATGTGAGTCTTTATTAAGAATAAACTTAATCTTGAATACTTGTATCTTTGATATAACATCAATTATCTTATATAATTATATATTATTATATATATACAGATTAATGATAATTTATTGCAGTTGTTCTAGTTAGACTTAATACCATTATGAGAATGGTAGATTCAACTAGAGGCCAGTGATTAATAACAGTTATCAATAATGATATTGATATAGTTAGTGAGTTTTATTATTAATAGTCATTTTTGTTATACTAATTTATATATTAAATCAAATTTTTAAGGATTAATTTTCTAATTACTCAAATATCTTAATACTTTTCACTTGAATCTCTAAGGAGATTTTTATCCTCTTTATTATTATCTGCAATATTACAGATGAGCCATGTTTAATAGATCCTTTATTTAAACAAGTATTGGATTGGAATATTCTAAGTTAAAATAATTAGAAATTTTGAAGATTGTCAAGGTAGATAGAATTATATAACATTCAGATAATTATTGTAGTCCTAAAAGCAGGGTCCTAGAATTTTCTTTTCCTGTTCAGTTTAGGAAAATACTGTACATAGTATAAGTCATATAATCAAATTAGAAATTTTTTTTTATATAATTCTTATAATAAATCAATCTAACAATTAATTAATAAGAAAACTAGAAGTTCTATTCTTGTGCAACCTGATTATTTTCTCACATGCTCTTTGTGTGATATTAAACTTTGAACCTTGTAATTGCAACCTGAGAATACTATCACTATACTATAAATTTATAAAATATTTAATAAAATCTTTTTATTTATATTATTCATATTAAATAAAAATTATTTATTTTAATAAAACACTTAATCTTATTAAACATTTGAGAGAATAAAATTTAATAAAAGTAATTTGAAGTAATAAAAAAACTTCAAACAAATTCATTCCATATCAACAATATACAGTAATTACCCCTTTCAAACTTTTATTATTATAAGTTATAATTCCGGCTAACATTAGATTTAGAATTTATAATTCCGTCTGGCGTTAAATTTGTAATTCCGGCTGACATTAGATTGTAATTCTGGTTAATATTAAATTATAGTTCCGGCAGGATTAATATAATTTCAGCCGGGATTATAATTTTTGGCTATAATCACATTTTACTCTGAGATGTCACTGTGACTATTGTACCCATAAAGTGAAGATTTTAAAAAATAGAATAACATGTCACGTGATTCAAATCTTTACCTCGGATGCAAGTAAAATGCCGCATTTTTTTTTAAACTTATATTTTACATTTGAATATACGATGAATATTAACGATCAATAAACCGTTAAAAATCTTCAGACCATTGAAAAATTCGTTGAAATCATAACAAGAAACTAAGATAATCTTTTAATAACGCCTTATAACTAAAATCGACACATTAATCTTTGACCATGTTCTTAGGAAGTTTATCGAGGACTTCCTTCGAAAATCTTCCACGGATTTTGTATTCACTGATAACACTTGGAGAAGATAATGTCCCGTCATTATGATCTAAAAATCTTTGATAACGATACTTGTATTCTTCACCCTTACTCTCATTTCTTACAACGGGACTCGTGGTGTTGGTGACACGTTGCCAAGGATATGCGCGAGGAGTCTTTAGCAAATTATCCATGTTCTTGTCGTTAGGACTGGAAAATTTGCGCCCCATCATGTAACCGGCGGCCCCAAAGATTACAGCAAGCATACCGAGCAATGGATAGGTCTCTGGATCGACGGATAAATAACGCATGATCGTCTGATTTCGGGAAACTCCTCCGCTAACTGAACCGAAACTCATTTTTTCTTATTATTACTTATGGAAGATATACGAATTCTTTTGAAAGTTAACAATGATCGTAACACGAATCGAAAAAATTTGATTTTTCGAAGACGACAATAGTTGTTATTTATATGAATTCCAAACCATAATTTACTAATAATCTGACATCATTCTTTAAGCAATGACTTCATTGTTAGCTTAACTATTTCCTCGCTTCTCACGCCTGTTGATTTCGTCATCATTTTGCAAGCCATAAATAAATATACTGGTTAATTACGTCATAAGTTTTAACTGAAATTGTAAAAAGATTTTAATTACAAATATACTTGACTAGAATAATAAATAATATTAATATTTAAATTATTAATATACGATTGCTTCTAAAAGTTTTTCACTTACTATGTTTTTATTATAAATTTTTAAATTTTTAAATTTTTAATAGTGCAATCAAAAATCGTAAAATTTATATATAGTATATTATATTTTAATACTTGTTTTATTTTTTATTATAAATAATTTTTAAAGGTTTTTTATTATTAAATATTTTTATTTTTTATATAATTTATATAAAAATCAATTAAAATTATTTAAAAGTAAAAATTTATTTAAAAAAGCAATAATAAAAACTTTAAAAATTATATATTAAAATTTTTGAAAAAAATACAAAAAATAAAATTAATAATAAGATATAATAAATATAAATTTTATAATTTTTAATTGTATAATTAAAATTAATTAAGTTAAAATTTATAATAAAAATATAGCAAGTGAATTTATATCTTTAAAAATAATTATATTTAAAAAATATTAAATATAAAATTTAGTTATTAAATAATATATTTAACTATTATATTAACAAATTTATATTATTATTATATAAAAATTAATATAATTTATTATAAATTAAACTATTAAAAAAATAAATACACATCTTTTTCACAAATTTATTTTTTTTTTCAAAAAAAATTTTTTTAATAATTTTTTAAAAAAAGAATAAAATAACTTAAACTTATTACATATCATAGAGAATAAAACTATATAATTCTTTATAAAGGATATATAGTTGTTTTCAAAAGTTTAAGTCCACTTTATTATAAATTTCAACTTTAGCAATTTTTTAATTCTTAATTATACAATTAAAAATTGTAAAATTCATATATATTATATCTTAATACTATTTTATTTTTTTCAAAAATTTATATATATAATTTTTTAAAGTTTTATTATTGTTAAAAAATTTCTTCCTTTATCAAATTTTTATTTTTGAAGATTTTGATTGGTTGTTACTGTAAATTATATAATAATTAATAAAAAAATAAAAATATTTAATAATAACAAAACTTTAAAATATATTAATAAAAGATTTTTTAAAAAATATAAGAAATAAAATAAATATTAAAATATAATATATATAAATTTCAGAATTTTTAATTGTATAATTAATAATTTAAAAATTGTTAAAATTGAAATTTATAATAAAAACATAGTAAATAGACTCAAACTTTTGAAATCAACTATATATAAAACTTAACAAATAAATTATTAATAAAGTGATATATATTAATAATATTATTATACTTTATTTAAATTTTCAAAAGAAAAAAAATAAAATTTAAAATTTAAATTACAATAAAATTAAAAAATTCAAAATTAACTTATTTTTTTTTTAACTTACAATCAGGCAATTCAAAATCAACTTATTATTTTTTTTTTTTTTACCTTCTGTCAGGCTAGTTACATATGCTTTATTAAACATTTGTAAGCTGTACATATAATATGAGACGCTAAAGCTAATTCT